ACATTTTTATATTTATTAAATTATTTTTAATTCATAAACGGGTTAATAGGTCAACCTGTGGGTGACCTAAATTCGACCTGTTTTTTTTCGGATTCATCAGGTTTGACCTGATTCTGTCCAACAGTTGTATGGAATTTTTTTTTTTGAATTTCATAAAAAAAATAAAAACAAAAGATTCCATAGTAGAAATTCCATGTAAACAAAAGATTCTGAAAGCAAAAAATGTGCGAATTCCATGTAAACAAAAGATTAACATACTTGAACAAAAAATAAAAGTCATAAACATATCTAGGATAATTAAGTCAAATATGTATTAATTGTATTCTATTCTGACATCTAAATATTGATCACACTAAATATTGAAGAATGAATAATGATAAATATTTATCCCTGCCATTTTGGGTAGAAGACCTTTTTATTTTGGACATTACTGCATACCAAACAAGAGGTCAGGATATTAAGTAAACATACAAAAAGGGTTGACTCACTATAAAAATTCTAAAATTACCACTCAACTCTATATATATACACTCTTTAGTATATTTAATTTATATCAAAATTACTATGAATGTATGTAATCACACTCATTTTCGTCCCTTATATTTGAATACCTTCCCTTGTTATCAGATTAAAAGAAAAATTCATCCCAAGTATTTGAATACCTTCTCTTGTAAACAATTTTCAAAAAAAAAAAAAATATCTTCAATGGTTGCTTGGGTTAACCGAACTTTATGCACTTAAACTTGAGACCATTTAATGTTTCCAAAACGATAAGGTTTAAGGATTTGTTATCTGTCCAGTGATGCAAAAAACTTGACGTGCATTAAACTTAATAAATGTATAACATGGTAACTTTTAAATTTACATGTACCTAAACCTATTAATCTTTTGACAAGTTCAACTCTACTACAAATTTATTACTTGGGTGCAAACGTGCCAATTTTTTTTGAAATTGGAAATTTAGATTAAAAAAAAAAAAAGCATCTATGCATGTTCTAAAGCAACGCTTTCTTTCATTCCGTTATGCAGAACATGTTTGGCGATGGAACTGACACAACACAATCAGTTATGGAATGGGCAATGTCAGAACTTCTAAAGAAACCTATAACCTTGCAGAAATTACAGGCTGAGGTAAGAGAAGTGACCCAGGGAAAACCAGAAATAGCTCAAGATGATTTGGAGAAGATGAGATACTTAAAAGCAGTGATTAAAGAAACTCTACGATGTCATGTTCCTGCTCCATTACTGGTTCCTCGAGAATCAACTCGAGACATCAAAATAATGGGGTGTGATATACCAGCAGGCACACTAGTGTTGGTGAATGCTAGTGCAATTGCAAGAGACCCCATTCTGTGGGAGAACCCTGAGGAATTTCAACCTGAGAGGTTTTTGAATTCCAAAATAGATTTTCGAGGCCTTAACTTTGAGTTAATTCCTTTTGGTTCTGGACGAAGGGTTTGCCCGGGTATCAACTTCGCCATATCCGTAAATGAACTTGCATTGGCAAAATTGGTCAACAAATTTAATTTTGCATTGCCTGATGGAATCAAGCCAGAGGATCTGGACATGACTGAAGCATCTGGTATCACAGTTCACAGAAAACATCCTCTACATGCTATTGCCACTCCATATCTTTGTTAATGGCTTCGTATTCATATGCTTTCTTTTTTATTTTTGTGGTCTTATTTCTAGTGGAAGTTCTCATACTATTAATAAGTGATAATAATAATGTAATAATATAAAAAAATAAAAAGGTATTTTTGTTTAGAATTTGTTAACATGTTGAATTGAATTACTTATAAGAGTGAAGTGACTAAAAGATAATATTAGAGAGTAAATTGATAATAGTAATATAGTTTTAAGGGGATAAAGTGATAATAACCCATCCTGGAAGTACCTAAACTTTGCTCCTCCTTAGCTTTTTGCAGCATCCTCGGATTCTTCAATCTTTGAATTTCTGCTAGAATAATTGACTGAGAAGGCCGGTTTTCCCTCCCCTGCTCTTTTACTTCTCTACCTTAAGGTTTTGCCTAGGGGTCTAGCTCAATAGCTTAAGAGTAGAAATTATCTCCGCCCACATCGTGAATTCTTAAGAAGTTTGCCCATGTTTAATTTAGGGTAAAGTACATAAAACCCCCTTGTGGTTAAGGAAATTGACACGAAACCTCCTCATTATTTAGAAACTCCCACTTAACCCTCCTGTGCTTTGGCCTTGTTTGGATTTTACCTGCTAACCGGCTGGGGAGCCGGTAATAATATGAAATACCAAAAATACCCTCATATATAATATGTGAAAAGTTACAGATGCAATGAGTCAATCTGGAGCGGATGAAAGAAACTAAGAGAGAAACCCTAAACCTATAACGAAGAAGAAGGTAACTGTATTGCTGAGCGGTGCGAGTTATGGTGAAGATCTGTCGGGCTTGAGATACATTTCATGTTCAGAGAGAGAAACCCTAAACCTAATTCCAAAAAGAAGGTGTTTGTGTGCTGCGGATCGGGAAACCTACAGCCAAGAACATCGGTCGGTGCTTCAGTGCAGATGGATCGGCATTTATGTGTAGATCGGTCGAGAGTCGCAATGCATTGAGCATATCTGAACCAGGTAAAATACATATATGAACCTTATGCATTAGACGAGTTGATTTGTTTGATGGCAGGTGTTTTGGTACTAAATTGTTGGGGATATTTTGAAACTTGGTAAAAGAACCACCATGTTTGGCTTAGTTAGAAGTGTCTCCGACAATGTTTGTGGGAATTTGTTTTTAAAATTTGGTAAATATTGCAAAATGTCAGTTTCGGCTTGGTCAGAAGCTTTTCCTACAGTCTTCCGACAATGTTTGTGGGAACTTTTTTTGCTTTTTTATAACAATACGCAAAATGTCAAGATTTGGCTTAGTCAGAAGCTTTTCTGAAAATGTTTGGGTGCAATTATTTAAAAAATTGCAATATACTGCAAAAAAATATGAGTTTTTGTGAAGTAATCAAATTTTCATTGGTCCATACTAGTCTTGATTATGTTTTTCATCCTTCTAGATAAGTGTGTTGTTGTTCATTTTTTATGTTTTTGAAACTGAGTGTATGAAATATTGCATGTCCTTTTTGATACATCTGAAAAGCAAATGAGTAAATGAATCTCTGTTTTTTGATACACTTGAAAACGAAATTAGTAAAATAATCTCGGTTACTTTGGATTAGGTGCATAAAAATGGGAGATAATTCGTGGCAGACCGTAGACATACACTTGCATTATGGTGGATATTTCAAATGGAAACCGAGAATTAGATACACTGGCGAACATGTGAGGGTATTTTGTGATTTGGACCCTGATGAATTATCCGTATTTGAGTTTCAAAAAATGTACCAAACAATTGAGCACGGCGTTACAAATATGAATTTCTGGTACTCTATTCCCTTTCATGACCTTGATATTGGTGTGGTTAGCATCAATGATGATATGGACATCGAATTATTGACAACATGTTATGAGGGGCTTAAAGAAATGCACATATATGCTGAGAGGGGGTCTGATCCCATTGAAGTTGTGTCCTCGGAAGGAAAATTATTGTACAAGAGAATGACTAGTGATGGCATACTTGCACTTCCATATCATGATGCCTGGCAGGCTGAGATTAGTTCGTCCTCAACTGTTAAAGGCAAGGATGACATGGTCAAGGAAGTAATTGAGAGTGAGGACAATAATGACATTCCAGACATTAACAACAAAGCAAAGGACGTCTGAGAAGAAAAGTCATCACAAATGAAGTCAGATCCAACTGTCATGGGACCACATAAAGAGAAGATACATGATGCTGGTGACAAGTCCAAGAGAAAGAAGGCAAGAAATGATAAAAAAGTCAAGTCACAAAGAGTAAAGTTAAGCGCAAGGAAATCAGTCAGGCGGTTATTTAAAGACAAAGAAGAAGGTGATACATCCTCAGACTTTCAGCAGTCTCATACAAGGAAATCAGCAGAAGAAACAACACAGACAGAGAGAGATCCAACATCAGATCAGACTGATTGTTATGGAGAAAGACCAATTCATGAAGGCGAAAAAGAAGATGAAATCATACTGGATTACTCAGATTTTCCTGACTGGCTAAGAGAAGCAGTAGAACAGCCTGAAGATGATGATATATTTGCAGGTTTACATGGTCAAGGATCAACACAGGCGTCTATAAATATTGGATCTGCAAATTCGGTTGGTATTCCTTCTGAGCAGCAATAAGAAAATCAGCAGGCAAAAGCATCAAACAAAGCTGATTTAGATGAACAACACCAAAAACAACATGAAAATCAGCAACCAACCAAAAATCCAGAAGCTAATTTAGATGAACATCAACAACAGCATCAAAATCAGCAGGAACAGGATTGGAATGAGGCAGTAGATGATGATGAAAACCTGTTTGACAGAGGAATAGGTTTTGATGAGGAAAGCACCCTTGTCTACAGCCACTTCAATGCGGATGAAGAGTTTAGAAAATAGTACTTTGAACTAAAGGTTGGCCAGAAATTTAGCAGCTTTCATAAGTTTAGAGAGGTTTTAGTGGAATGGGGTATTAGGGAGGGATATGAGCACAAGTACATCAGAAATGAGGGGTCTCGAATCACAACTAAATGTGCAAAGGGGTGTAGTTGGAGGATTCATGCAAGCAGAATCCAGAGATCAAAGACATTTATGATCAAGACTCTTAAGGGAGATCACCATTGTGGCAGGGATTACAGCAATCGACATACCATCTCAACATATCTGAGTCATAAATTTCAAACCAAAGTGAGAGATGATCCTGGGTATAGTATTCCTGGCATGGTGAATGAGACAAGAAGATTGTTCATGCTAGACATTAGTAAAAAAAAAACTGCCAGGACAAAGCAAAAAGCATTAGAGGCACTCAGGGGCAATGACATGGAGCAATACTACAGACTTTGGGATTATGTAGTTACTGTAAAAAATTCCAATCCTGATAGTCATATTTCATTGCAAATTGATAGGCGAAATATTGAGGAAAGGGCTACATTTCAGAGGATATATTATGGTTTAGGTGCGTTGAAAAATGGTTTCCTACAAGGATGTAGACCTATCATAGGTCTAAATGGCTGCTTCCTCAAGAGTCCCTTTGGAGGTCAGCTGCTTACAGCCTTGGGTAGGGATGCCAATGAAAATATGTTCCCTATTTCCTTTGCTGTTGTTGAGGTTGAGAATTACGACAGTTGGGGTTGGTTTTTGTGGGAATTAATCAGCCAAATTGGAAGAGGAAACAAAGGAGTGGCTTACACTTTCATCTCAGATAGACAAAAGGGTCTTGTCCATGCAATTGAAGAATTATTTCCTGAATCAGAGCACAGATTCTGTTTGAAACATATGTTCGAGAACTTCAAACAAAGATTCAAGGATCAAGACCTTAGAGATCTGTTTTGGGAGGTAGCTGCAGCAGCAAGCAGGCCGGAGCATGAAACTGCCCTTTCAAATCTTGAGAGGGCTGACCCACAGGAAGGTGACAAGCTAATAGCTGCGGGATGGATCAAACGGTTGCCTCCAAAATTATAGTATAGAGCTCATTTTAGTACAGCTTGTAGGAGTGACACTTGCGTTAACAACATGAGTGAGTCATGGAATAATTACATTTTAAAAGCTAAAGGGGAGCCAATAAGATCAATGCTAGAGTGGATTCGGAGGAGATTAATGCAAAGGTTGGTAACCAAACGAGAGGGCATGCTGAAACATGGTAGAACTTTATGTCCAAACATTTATGAGAAATTGGAGAAACTTAAGATAAAGGCAAGAAATTGTGTTGCGGTTTACGAAGGAAATGGAAATTTGGAAGTTGATGGCTATGGAAAGACAAATGTTGTCAATTTGGAGTTGAAAACTTGTACCTGTGGTCATTTTCAGCTTAGTGGCATTCCTTGCGTGTATGCGGTTGCCTGCATTCAGAGCAGAAAGGTGAAATTCGAGGAATATGTTGATGCTTGTTACCATAGGGAAGCATATTTAAGGGCCTACAACTTCACAATTGGTCCCGTTCCTTCGAAGCAGTTCTGGGTAGATAGCAAGATGCAATATCTGAACCCACCATTGGTGAAAAAACAGCCTGGTAGGCCAAAAAAACAGAGAAAGAAGGGTCCAGAAGAGCCTACAAATCAGCAGAAAGCAAGTAGGAAAGGACTTGCAGTTTACTATCGGAGATGTTTGAAAACTGGACATAACATACGTACTTGCAAATCAGCGATTGACCCTAAGTCTAAACTTTACAAAGTAATGTAACATTTTACACTCTACTGTAATATGGTTTAGTGTGTTTTGTTGCTACTTATATACTAATTCATTTTGATTTGGACTGTAAGCACCTAAAATTGGTCAAACAGCTTCAAATGCAACATCCGTAGCTTCTGCTGCTCAGGTAAGCGTCTCAAGTACTGCTACTACACTTTCACAGGTACTAGAGAGTACTGGCCAAACATTTTTGGATGCTGGAATATACTTACATATATACTAACCATGACGAGGTACGTGTAGGAGCCAAATCAGCCTATAGGTGGTACCAACCAAGAAAGCCAGCAAAGCAGATTCTCAAAGAGAAAGCAACCTATTGCAACTTCAAGGATGTCAAGGTTGCGACATTGTGGCTCCAAGAGACCAAGAAAATGAAAAGCTGTTTTTCTGATTTTATTGATTAACAATACTGCTTATGCCAAGTAGAATATGTCATTTTATTGGTTGACTGTACTGATGCCATTATGGTATGGATGGATGTTGCAGTATTTTTCATTGTACTCAGATTTTTGGTTATTTTTTGGTTGACTGTTGCTCTCGTGGATATTGTATTATGGTTTTTGTGTGAATGATTTCGTTGACTATGGCTATCGTTTGGTTGACTGATGCCATTGTGGTATTGTACTCAGATAAATTGGCTATGTTTTGATCGACTGTTGTATTTGTGACTGTATAGCTATGCTGGTGAACCTTTTGACCATGTTATGGTAGGATACCATTGTGGTATGGTTATAGTAATGAGTTGATTTTTGTGTTTATGGATGGCACGTCTTCGCTTATTTATCATGTCTAGCTGTGGTAATATGGATGGCAATATCACTGGCCATATCTTTGCTGAAGATGACTAAATCTGACAAGTGTTTATGGAGATCAATATTGCTGGTTATATCTTTGCATCTGATGACTTAATATAACAACTTCATTGCATTTAATTGGGTATCTCAGGTTTTTCTATATATGTCCCACACCAGAAGCAGGCTTTTTCAATGTCTTGAACAAAAGCAGCTTCAGTCGCTCATTTATAATTCAAACATGAAAATCAACTCCAAATTGAAACAACTTCACTACAATTTCCCAACTCCAGATTCTATTACACGGCCAAACAGCCAAACATTACACTTTTTGCCCAAAATTCATCTCATACATATAACGACCAGTGACAAAAGAGACACAAGTACAGTCAGCATCATCATCATCTTCATCAGCCCCATCGTTGGTTCGACATTGTGAATCTTCGATTGTAATCCCATAATAATGTTATAGTTATTACTTTCTATTCCTTGCCCAGAGATGATAAATCTTTCCGCGGTTGCAGGTCGAATTGATGAAACCCCTTCCACGTATGGATTTTGGCAGGATGATTCATTAGTGCCTCCCTCTCTACTAATTGGGTTGCACCATGCCCAAAATGAACAAGCACCAGTTTCACATATATAATACAACATACCTTTTGATGGTTTTTCGGATTCTACTACCTTAATCTTTGCTTTATTGTTGCAGAAACAACGCCGATTTTGGTACCTTAGGTCTCTCGATCCACCGCCAAAATTTTGGAAGTTTGACATTTTTGGATTCTTCCTTGAAATGATAGCTGATTTAGCCCCTCCAAAGCTTTTCTTGATCCATCCAAAGTTGCGCTGAGCTCTTTACGTTTTTGGGTCTTCGTTTTGCATCTCTCTGTCGAAATTTTTCATTTGCAGATCTACAACTATGATGGGTGCAAGCTTGGAAGAGACATGGAGGACAACATTGGAATGAAATGAGTTTCTGCTAGATACAAGTTACCATTAAGTCGCGTAAATATCACTCGCTAGCTCCTCAGCCGGTTAGTAGGTAAAATCCAAACAAGGCCAAAGCACAGGGGGGGTTAAGTGGGAGTTTCTAAATAATGAGGAGGTTTCGTGTCAATTTCCTTAACCACAGGGGGGTTTTATGTACTTTACCCTTTAATTTATGTTTTGAAGTCCATCGAAGCATTGCACCGCGGACGAAGTGACCGGGTCAAGGTCAACACCTATGTGGGGCCAGGCCCAGGAAAGTCCCCGGGCCATTTACTGTAGAGATACAGGCTTGGAAACAAGCAAACCTCTTGGACTTGGGAGTCAATCACATTTATGTGATGGGCTGAGACGCGTGTGAAGCCCTGTGACTCTTGTCCAGAAGTACCTTGGCCGAAAAACAGTTATTCACTTGGTCCATTGATGCTAGCAGAACAGGGCTTACGATCTGTGGTGCTTACTTTTTGGACCAATAGTTTTGTTTTATTGGTTTCCCTTTGTTTTTCCGTCGCCAAATTATGTTCCTGAAGCTGAAATGCGGAAGAATTAATTATTTTCCTCTTTTTTACCCTATAATTGTGGTTTTATTTTTGTTCCCTCTATTTGCCAAATTCATTTTGGATTATGGAGATATGGATTCATTTTGTATGTTAATTTCCATTCTTTAGTATTGGGTCGTACTATTATTTTGATTATAATGCAGTTGTTGTTTAATCATATTTTTCATTTGTGACGGGAATCAAGCAAGATTCAATAAAACAAACAGTTAATCAAGATATAAAAATATAAAAAACTCAGGTGAAATTGTTTTAGCTTCTCTCCCTTTTTTTTTTACTATCCCAAAGTTATAAATTTTAAGTTGTAGTTTTGTCTGAAATTCTTTAGTTCGATGCACGTAGTTAAAAAAAAAAAAAAAAAAACCAGTCCTTGTTGTTCTCATAAGTTCTCATGTTCTAAGAGGTTTCGATTTGTCCTTATTTTTCGGGCAATTACAATTTATTCCTTGTGATTTAGTTTTTTTGTACATAACCCCCTACGATTTCAAAAGTTATATATAATCTCCTCATGATTTGAATTAAAATGTCATAACGGATTCATATAAAATGTCAAAATACCCCTATATAAAGTTAAAAATTATTTATTAACCACAGGAGGGTTATGTGTATATTTTGAAAATCTTAAGGGGATTATATGATAAAATATTAAACCATAAGGGGGTTATATGATAAATATAAAACCATGCGGAGTTAGTGTGTTATGTATATTATGTTTTATATTTTTGTTACTTCAACCATTTTAATTTTTAAACAAGGGTGATTTTGACATTTTAAAAGGTTTCATTTCGAATGACCATATTCGTCATTTTCACACTTTAATTCAAACCTTGAGGGGTTATATATAATTTTTTAAACTATACGGGGGTTATATATAAAAATACTAAATTATAGGGGGGATAAAGTGTAATTTTGTCCTTATAGATTTGTCCTTATTTTTCCATCTTCTTTTGTCATTTTTCTGCAAGCCTATATGGATAGATACCACACGCCTCCCAACTGACACAAGCTTGTCCATACTTGTTTTCCAATATTTTGTCTGAAATCAGAGTCTTGTAGCCTGAGCAAAATACAGGGGAGATTAAAGCAAATGGCAAGCTCATCAGGCTTGGTATCGGAGCTAAAGATTGATGTATATATGTTTCATCCAATCTTTTTTTCGCTTTTTCCTTTAATCTTACTGTGGTTTCTCTTCAAATTAGTTTCAAATTCGAGAAAGAATCAGCCACCATCGCCACCAGGACTTCCGATTATTGGAAATCTTCATCAGCTAAGCTCACTGCCTCACTATCCTCTCCACTCCTTAGCCCAAAAATATGGTCCAATCATGTTTCTCAAATTTGGTAGTGTTCCAACGGTAGTAGTTTCATCAGCTGATGGAGCTAGCCTTGTTAGGAAATTGGTTTAAATTCTTTGAGGTAGATTTCTTATCTTATGTGGAAGTAACTAGTTTCCTAATTGGTTCTTGTTACTTGAAGTAGTAACCAAGAAGTATTCTATTTAGTTTAGGAAATAGTATTGGTTTCCAATTGTTATTTAGTTTTTTGGCAGTAATGTTTCCTATAAATAGATGGGTTGGCATACCACACAAGAGAAACACAAGGGCAAGATGTAGCCTTACACTTGGGGTGTGAGAGAGGGTTCTTGGGAGATGAGAGATGGTATACAAGGGTTGGGTTTAGGTTCAAGTTGTATTCTTGTATAGGGTTTTCCTCTCATAATAAAGAACGTGTTTCTCTCCGTGGATGTAGGCTCAATGGTGGAGTCGAACCACGTTAAATATTGTGTGTCGTTTATCTTTCCTGCTTGTGGCTTGTTCCTCATTAAATTGCTTTGCACTTGATGTCTCAATAGTTATTTGTTCCGCGTCTGGATCCTAACAAGTGGTATCAGAGATTCAGGTTGCAAAACTGGGTTACTCATGGGCAAGTGAATTCTTCTCGGAATTGGATCGGTGAAAAAATTCTCTTCTTGATGGTGGACCGAAATGCCAAGGAGTTTGGTTGGTGTTGGACCAGATGTGCCATGGGTTTGGCAGGGGTTTCGGTTGATGTTAGACCAAGAAGCCAAGGGTTGGTAGGGGTCCAAAAATATAGTTTGGATGTTGAAGAAGAGCGGGTCCATGTTTGGAAGAAGAGGTGACCTTAAAATGATAAGGTGGGCTTGTGTTGAGTATTAAAGTGGGCTCCGAAAAACAAGAGCTTGTAAATTTGGGTTTAATGTGGGGGTTACTCATGAAGGGGGAGATTTGTTGGGTTCATGAGTAAGGGATTGTGTCCCACATCGGTACGAGAGATGGAAAAAGAGCGGTTAATATGCAAGTAAGGGTTCAAGACCTAATAGCTTAAGCTTTTGGGTCAGAGTTGGGTTTCTGACTTACATATTGGGCTCTTTGGTGGACTTTTTCGAGGTGTTTCTCCCTAACAAGTGGTATCAGAGCTTAGTTGCGAGACTGGGCAATAGAGCAAAGTTCGTGGTTGGATCCTAGTTAATTATTGAGATCAAGTGGATTGGTAGCTGTTACTAATTGAACGATTTAATGAGTGGTATCCTTGTTTCAATGGTTTGGCAAAAAGCATTGATGGTGAAGGATAAGAAGTCGAAAAGCATGGAAATACTTGATGGTGAATCTAAGCAGGTGATTCAAGGGTCAAGGAAAAGGTGGAGTCCAATGCTGATTTTGGACGTGAATCGGTGGAGAATTTCTCACACCTCTAACGGTTGATATTTCATCCCGGTTGATACTCCAATGGTTAGGGTTAGAGCTCATAAAAGGGGATCCCGGATTGCAAGTGGTGGTGAGAAGAAATCCTGTAAAGGGAGATGGTGAATTGAGGCACCTTCTCACGAGTCAACTGGAGGTTGGACTCGGGGTAACTACACATGTTCATTTGCCGATTGAATCAATTTAGTGTCAGGACTGTATTGATTCGGGTGTGTAGTTTGGTACCATATTATTTGGTAGTTGAAGGCAAATGATTGTTAAAAGAAATTTTCGCCAAGGTGGAGATTTGTTAGGAAATTGACTTAAATTCTTTTAGACAGATTTCTTATCTTATGTGGAAGTAACTAATTTCCTAATTGGTTCTTGTTACTTGAAGTAGTAGCCAAGAAGTATTCTATTTAGTTTAGGAAATAGTATTGGTTTCCAATTGTTATTTGGTTTTTTGGCAGTAATGTTCCTTATATATAGATGGGTTGGCATACCACACAAGAGAGACACAAGGACAAGATGTAGCCTTATACCTGGGGTGTGAGAGAGGGCTCTTGGGAGATGAGAGATGGTATACAAGGGTTGGGTTTGGGTTCAAGTTGTATTCTTGTATAGGGTTTTCCTCTCA